TATCCAATCTTACATCACCTAATCTTTTTATCCTCATAACCTTACTCTTTCCTGTATTCACTTTTAATTTTCTTCTTTTGCATACCCTACCAAATTCATCCACCAACCTCTGCAACTTCTCTTCAGAATCTCCCAAGAGCACAGTGTCATCAGCAAAGAGCAACTGTGACAACTCCCACTTTATGTGTGATTCTTTATCTTTTAACTCCACGCCTCTTGCCAAGACCCTTGCATTTACTTCTCTTACAACCCCCTCTATAAATATATTAAACAACCATGGTGACATCACACATCCTTGTCTAAGGCCTACTTTTACTGGGAAATAATTTCCCTCTTTCTTACATACTCTAACTTGAGCCTCACTATCCTCGTAAAAACTTCACTGCTTTCAGTAACCTACCTCCTACACCATACACCTGCAACATCTGCCACATTGCCCCCCTATCCACCCTGTCATACGCCTTTTCCAAATCCATAAATGCCACAAAAAACCTCTTTAGCCTTATCTAAATACTGTTCACTTATATGTTTCACTGTAAACACCTGGTCCACACACCCCCTACCTATCCTAAAGCCTCCTTGTTCATCTGCTATCCTATTTTCCGTCTTACTCTTAATTCTTTCAATAATAACTCTACCATACACTTTACCAGGTATACTCAACAGACTTATCCCCCTATAATTTTTGCACTCTCTTTTGTCCCCTTTGCCTTTATACAAAGGAACTATGCATGCTCTCTGCCAATCCCTAGGTACCTTACCCACTTCCATACATTTATTAAATAATAGCACCAACCACTCCAAAACTATATCCCCACCTGCTTTTAACATTTCTATCTATATCCCATCAATCCCAGCTGCCTTACCCCCTTTCATTTAACTACTGCCTCACGAACTTCCCCCACACTCACAACTGGCTCTTTCTCACTCCTACAATATGTTATTCCTCCTTGCCCTATACACGAAATCACAGCTTCCCTATCTTCATCAACATTTAACAATTCCTCAAAATATTCCTTCCATCTTCCCAATACCTCTAACTCTCCATTTAATAACTCTCCTCTCCTATTGTTAACTGACAAATCCATTTGTTCTCTAGGCTTCCTTAACTTGTTAATCTCACTCCAAATCTTTTTCTTATTTTCAACAAAATTTGTTGATATCATCTCACCCACTCTCTCATTTGCTCTCATTTTACATTGCTTCACCACTCTCTTAACCTCTCTCTTTTTCTCCATATACTCTTCCCTCCTTGCATCACTCCTACTTTGTAAAAACTTCTCATATGCTAACTTTTTCTCCCTTACTACTCTCTTTACATCATCATTCCACCAATCGCTCCTCTTCCCTCCCGCACCCACTTTCCTGTAACCACAAACTTCTTCTGAAAACACTAACACTACATTTTTAAACCTATCCCATACCTCTTCAACCCCATTGCCTATGCTCTCATTAGCCCATCTATCCTCCAATAGCCGTTTATATCTTACCCTAACTGCCTCCTCTTTTAGTTTATAAACCTTCACCTCTCTCTTCCCTGATGCTTCTATTCTCCTTGTATCCCATCTACCTTTTACTCTCAGTGTAGCTACAACTAAAAAGTGATCTGATATATCTGTGGCCCCTCTATAAACATGTACATCCTGAAGTCTACTCAACAGTCTTTTATCTACCAATACATAATCCAAGAAACTACTGTCATTTCGCCCTACATCGTATCTTGTATACTTATTTATCCTCTTTTTCTTAAAATATGTATTACCTATAACTAAACCCCTTTCTATACAAAGTTCAATCAAAGAGCTCCCATTATCATTTACACCTGGCACCCCAAACTTACCTACCACACCCTCTCTAAAAGTTTCTCCTACTTTAGCATTCAGGTCCCCTACCACAATTACTCTCTCACTTGGTTCAAAGGTTCCTATACATTCACTTATGATATAATATAATGGCAAAATAGTGAACTTATTACACTTTAGCACATGAGAATAGCACCTTGATTATTTTAACAAATGTGAATATATGAACTAAGGTAGTTATATAAAGCTAAAATAAAGGAGAAAATATATAAGGGATTAAAGTAAGTAATATTGAACAAAGTTCAATGGACAGATAGTCACTATGATATAATATTGATTTGGGAGTAAGATTTGATTTGTAATGTATAAGTTGAGCAATTAATTGCACTATAAAAAGTAGAGAAATATGAGGTAGCTGGTACTAGCTAGCAAAAGATAGTTTTGGGACTCACACAATAATGTAATTGGAATATACACTAATTGCTCACACAATATAAAGGTGGTTCGGACATGTAGAGAGAATGGAGCGAAACAGAATGACTTCAAGAGTGTATCAGTCTGTAGTGGAAGGAAGGCGGGGTAGGGGTCGGCCTAGGAAAGGTTGGAGGGAGGGGGTAAAGGAGGTTTTGTGTGCGAGGGGCTTGGACTTCCAGCAGGCATGCGTGAGCGTGTTTGATAGGAGTGAATGGAGACAAATGGTTTTTAATACTTGACGTGCTGTTGGAGTGTGAGCAAAGTAACATTTATGAAGGGGTTCAGGGAAACCGGCAGGCCGGACTTGAGTCCTGGAGATGGGAAGTACAGTACCTGCACTCTGAAGGAGGGGTGTTAATGTTGCAGTTTAAAACTGTAGTGTAAAGCACCCTTCTGGCAAGACAGTGATGGAGTGAATGATGGTGAAAGTTTTTCTTTTTCGGGCCACCCTGCCTTGGTGGGAATTGGCCAGTGTGATAATAATAAAAAAAAAATAAAATAGTAGTGGTAAGCTGAATTAAATGGACAGGTAGCAACCATGAATAACATTAAATTGGAGTAAGATTTGTCTTGCAACACAAAATTATGAGCAATAAAAGCAATTAAAAAGTAAAAAGTATTTGAGGTAGCTGGTATTAGCTAGTAAAAGAAAAAATAATAATGCACAATAATGTAATAGTAAATAATAATAATGCACAATAATATAATAGTAACGTACACTATATGCATCACACGTATATATCTGTTAAGGACACTTATCTAATCTGTTACAGAAATGTCACCTTTTCTAAGGAAGGTAGAGAAATCATGTTCATTTGAGATGGTGTATTGTTGTCCTGTTGATTTTTTTCTAATTAGTATTTTCCCATCTCGAGTGAAACACTGATGTATTTTGTTTTCCTGTTTAAGTTTTCTCAACCTGAACAGAAGGTTTTGACGTTTTCTTGTTAGACACTCGTTGATGCACACTCCATTTTTCATTGTAATTGCTGATTTAATTAAGTCCTTTCTTTTATCATATGAATGAAATCTGATCATGATACTGTGTTTACTACCTTGTTTACTACCTTGTTTTCCTAACAAACGTGTTTCTTTGATTTCATTGTTTTGCACGATAACTTGTACGTGGTCCTGTATTATCCTGATAGCAGTTTCTTTGCACTGTTCTTGGGTTATGTCACTAGGAATGTGTGGACTGTTTATTATAACTGCATCAGACAACTTATCTTATTCAGTTTTGTCGTCTTGGAAATCAAGGTATTCATTCAGTCGAGTGTGCATGTTCTGATTCCAGTCCTTGATTGCTTCATCAACCTTCATATTTAGAGTTGTTATTTGCTCAGTGTGACGGGCTATTGCTGTTTTCAGAGTATTTTCTGTGTCAGCACTTCTCGAGGTAATCTTCTCTTCAAGGTTTTGGATCTTGTTCTCGAGGTTGGTTATCTTGGATTCTCGTCGCGCAAGTGTTGCTTTAATATCTTTGATTTCGTTTTCTAGAGCAACAATGTAGTCCCTGATATTGTCAGGAATAATCATACCTTAGTTATCATGGGTGAATCCTTTGAAGGGAGTGGAGTTGGAGGGGGAGTCAGCCATGTTTGTTGTTGTTGTTCTCTGGGTTGTAGTGGTGAGGGGGGGTTGATGATACACCGGCGTCCTGCTGGGCAGACAAGTTGAGTTCTAGGGTCCTTGGTGTTATTCTTTTCTTACTGCTGTTGTTTCTTCTGCGATATCCTTTCATAGTATCACTAAAGTAGATACTGTGTAGCTATGGAGGAGAAGGCTTGATTTCCCTGAGCTTGGGTTAAGTGATTGTCTGGCAGCGGAGGCAGTGTTAGGGTTAGCAGGGCTGTCTTCCTTAGATCTTCTATTTTGTCAAGATTTGGGTTACATTCTTAGTATTCTTGGGTCATTTTGTGGTCTACGTGGGTTCATGTAGTTGTACCTTCAATTAAGCCATCACAAGCTTTGATGAGCATGGTTTCTTGAAGAATAAGAGTTGCTAGGATGCCGGTGCTGCCGGCTGTGAGCAGATTTAGTTAGTGACTTTAAGCCATAAGGTGGCATTACAAAGTTCATAGAAAATGTGAGAAAGCCAAAAATGAGGGAAAAGATGGTGTCTTATTCATTGTTGCCTACCGACATTAATGATAGGGAACTGATTTATTTTAAGCAGAAAATAGATGAGTTTTTTGTGTTATTGTACATCTGGGTCTACAATAATAAACTAATTATTAAATTATTTAACAGGTGAATTATTTTCTAAAGTAAAAGAAAATACACATTTTGGAACTAAAAAAAATGTAAGGGATCTATTAAAAGACCCAAAACAAAAATAAAAATATACTGAATGCTGTAAGGTTAATGAACAGTGATAACTCCAGTTAAATACAGTGGACCCCCGGTTAACGATATTTTTTCACTCCAGAAGTATGTTCAGGTGCCAGTACTGACCGAATTTGTTCCCATAAGGAATATTGTGAAGTAGATTAGTCCATTTCAGACCCCCAAACATACACGTACAAAAGCACTTACATAAATACACTTACATAATTGGTCGCATTCGGAGGTGATCGTTATGCGGGGGTCCACTGTATATGTATCTTTGATGCTTTATTTATCCTTGAGAACTTCTGTCTAGGAAATACCCACAATATTCAAATCTCAAGGAATAGCTATTTAAATATTTCCTTTACAGTGTGGAGCCTACAAAAAGTATCCAACCTGTTTTGTATTCTTCTGCCCATTTTGCATATGCAGAATGTAGTCTTAAGAAGGTATGATGGAGAACAGCTTCCAGGTCCTTGTGAATGGCCAAATACTCCAGTAATACATCCTAAAGATCAACAAAATTTTATTTGACATTAAAATAATAACCAAAAGCAAACACTACATACATATGTGTCAACATATATTTATCAGATTGGGTTCAAAGGAGTTTCTGTAACACTGTATAAAGATTAACCTCATTTCATGGTCTGTTTACTCAGCAAAATCTCTAAAATGGTATTACTGCTCCTCTTCGTTGGTGAGAAAGGTGGGCTGTTATAGCATGGTTTCTAATTTAGCAATTTACTGCACATAAGTGGATGATAACATTTGCATTTGTGTGCAAAGACATTTACCTTCATTTAATATTTAACTTGTTAATAAAATTCACTAATGTTTCGTAAGAGATGAACAAATTTTTGTAGGAAAAACAGCAACAGGTAAAAAATATGAAATAACCAATGAATGGGTTCTAAACAATTTCCATAAGGAATTTGGCCTAAATGAACCAGTTGCCACCAGTCATAGTTTTGTAACTCCACTATCTGCCTGAAATGTTCTGCATAACCAAGAGTTTTCCATATGTACTTTTAATGCCATCTAATTTTGTAAAATCTATGTATGTACCTTGTAGGAATAACTATTTTTTTTTCAACAAAACTGGTGGTCTCCTACCTAGGTAGGGAGATCCAAAAAAGAAGAAACACTTTCATCATCACTCACTCTATCACTGTCTTGCCAGAGGGTTGCCGATACTACAGTTCCAAACTCCAAATGTCCCCACCCCCTCCTTCAGAGTGCAGGCACTGTACTTCCCATCTCCAGGACTCAAGTCTGGCTCTCTGGTTTCCCTGAATCCCTTCATAAATGCTACCTTGCTCACATTCCAACATCATGTTAAGTCATAAAACCACTTACCTACATTCACTCCTATCTAACATGCTCATGCATGCTTGCTGGAAGTCCAAGCCCCTTGCACACGAAACCTCCTTTATCCCCTCCCTCCAAACTTTCCTAGAATGACCCCTACCCTTCATTCCACCTACATATATCCTCCAAATCATGATATTTTGGTCCATCCTCTCTAGATGACCAAACAACCTGTAGATGAATGGTTCAGAGAACCGACATGTTGATAAATTAGACGCAACTCTTGGGTATCTTTATTGAGGAAACGTTTCGCCACACAGTGGCTTCATCAGTCCATACGTAGGAGAAACTTGAAGAACAGGAGGAGAATGAGGTAATCAGTCCCTCAACCTTGAGTCGATGTGTTTAGTCCATCAATCTTGAATAGAATACGGCATATGAGCGAAGAAGCAGCTTACAAACCGTATGGCAGGAGAGGTGCAGCTACTTCCACATTGAACAAATGTGACACCACCTATGACTGCTGCACCTCTCCTGCCATACAGTTTATAAGCTTCTTCTCTGCTCATATGCCGTATTCTATTCAAGATTGATGGACTAAACACATCGACTCAAGGTTGAGGGACTGATTACCTCATTCTCCTCCAGTTCTTCAAGTTTCTCCTACGTATGGACTGATGAAGCCACTGTGTGGCGAAACGTTTCCTCAATAAAGATACCCAAGAGTTGCACATGTGTCTAATTTATCACCAAACAACCTCTTCAGCCTTCTGGATAATACTTTTCATAACCCCACACCTCCTCCTAATCTCTAAACTGTGAATTCTCAACATAACATTCACACCATACATTGCCCCCTAGAACATCTGCAGTGCCTCCACCCTCCTCCTAGTTGCAATGTTTAAAACCCATGTTTCACACCCATATAGGAGTGCAGGTAACATTATACTCTGGTACATTCCCTTTTTGCCTTCATGGATAACATTCTTTGTCTCCACAGATGTCTCAATGCACCCCCACCTCTCTTCCCTTGTCAGTTCTATGGTTCACCTCATTTTTCACAGATATGTCCACCAAGTCCACTCCCAAATATCTAACTCACTTCCTCCAAACTCCCTCCTTCCAATCTGATATCTAACCTTTCATTATTAAAATTTAATCATTATTATATTGATGGTATACAAAATTGACACATAGGCAAGTAAGACATGTGTAACCCAACACCCAACCATTATATATATGTCTTCCAAATTGTAATGAAAATTCTTATTTAAAACTAGATGACATCTCAAACACTGAATCAGTGTCTATATAAAGAAAAAGCTGTTTACAGTCAAATGGCCAGGTAATTTTGCCCAGAATGTGTAACATGTTACTATATTTGACATCTTTCAACAGACAGGATAACTTTCTACCAAAATGTGGAAAAAAAAAAAAATTCTAGTAAACCTTATTGCGAAATATTGCCAAAAATATGTTACAAATACAAATCAAGTTTTGTGACTTGCATTAAAGTGAGCATGACCAGGAAGACTATTCTTATATAAAACTAAGTGACCCAGAAAGATTTTTATTTTATTTTTATTATCACACTGGCCGATTCCCACCAAGGCAGGGTGGCCCAAAAAAGAAAAACTTTCACCATCATTCACTCCATCACTGTCTTGCCAGAAGGGTGCTTTACACTACAGTTTTTAAACTGCAACATTAACACCCCTCCTTCAGAGTGCAGGCACTGTACTTCCCATCTCCAGGACTCAAGTCCGGCCTGCCGGTTTCCCTGAATCCCTTCACAAATGTTACTTTGCTCACACTCCAACAGCACGTCAAGTATTAAAAACCATTTGTCTCCATTCACTCCTATCAAACACGCTCACGCATGCCTGCTGGAAGTCCAAGCCCCTCGCACACAAAACCTCCTTTACCCCCTCCCTCCAACCTTTCCTAGGCCAACCCCTACACTGCCTTCCTTCCACTACAGACTGATACACTCTTGAAGTCATTCTGTTTCGCTCCATTCTCTCTACATGTCCGAACCACCTCAACAACCCTTCCTCAGCCGTTTGGACAACAGTTTTGGTAATCCCACATCTCCTCCTAACTTCCAAACTACGAATTCTCTGCATTATATTCACACCACACATTGCCCTCAGACATGACATCTCCACTGCCTCCAGCCTTCTCCTCGCTGCAACATTCATCACCCATGCTTCACACCCATATAAGAGCGTTGGTAAAACTATACTCTCATACATTCCCCTCTTTGCCTCCAAGGACAAAGTTCTTTGTCTCCACAGACTCCTAAGTGCACCACTCACCCTTTTCCCCTCATCAATTCTATGATTCACCTCATCTTTCATAGACCCATATGCTGACACGTCCACTCCCAAATATCTGAATACATTCACCTCCTCCATGCTCTCTCCCTCCAATCTTTCATCACCTAATCTTTTTGTTATCCTCATAACCTTACTCTTTCCTGTATTCACTTTTAATTTTCTTCTTTTGCATACCATACCAAATTCATCCACCAATCTCTGCAACTTCTCTTCAGAATCTCCCAAGAGCACAGTGTCATCAGCAAAGAGCAACTGTGACAACTCCCACTTTATGTGTGATTCTTTATCTTTTAACTCCACGCCTCTTGCCAAGACCCTCGCATTTACTTCTCTTACAACCCCATCTATAAATATATTAAACAACCATGGTGACATCACACATCCTTGTCTAAGGCCTACTTTTACTGGGAAATAATCTCCCTCTTTTCTACATACTCTAACTTGAGCCTCACTATCCTCGTAAAAACTCTTCACTGCTTTCAGTAACCTACCTCCTATACCATACACCTGCAACATCTGCCACATTGCCCCCCTATCCACCCTGTCATACGCCTTTTCCAAATCCATAAATGCCACAAAGACCTCTTTGGCCTTATCTAAATACTGTTCACTTATATGTTTCACTGTAAACACCTGGTTCACACACCCCCTACCTTTCCTAAAGCCTCCTTGTTCATCTGCTATCCTATTCTCCATCTTACTCTTAATTCTTTCAATAATAACTCTACCATACACTTTACCAGGTATACTCAACAGACTTATCCCCCTATAATTTTTGCACTCTCTTTTGTCCCCTTTGCCTTTATACAAAGGAACTATGCATGCTCTCTGCCAATCCCTAGGTACCTTACCCTCATCCATACATTTATTAAATTGAACCAAACACTCCAAAACTATATTCCCACCTGGTTTTAACATTTCTATCTTTATCCCATCAATCCCGGCTGCCTTACCCCCTTTCATTTTACCTACTGCCTCACGAACTTCCCCCACACTCACAACTGGCTCTTCCTCACTCCTACAAGATGTTATTCCTCCTTGCCCTATACACGAAATCACAGCTTCCCTATCTTCATCAACATTTAACAATTCCTCAAAACATTCCCTCCATCTTCCCAATACCTCTAACTCTCCATTTAATAACTCTCCTCTCATATTTTTAACTGACAAATCCATTTGTTCTCTAGGCTTGCTTAACTTGTTAATCTCACTCCAAAACTTTTTCTTATTTTCAACAAAATTTGTTGATAACTTCTCACCCACTCTCTCATTTGCTCTCTTTTTACATTGCTTCACCACTCTCTTAACCTCTCTCTTTTTCTCCATATACTCTTCCCTCCTTGCATCACTTCTACTTTGTAAAAACTTCTCATATGCTAACTTTTTCTCCCTTACTACTCTCTTTACATCATCATTCCACCAATCGCTCCTCTTCCCTCCCGCACCCACTTTCCTGTAACCACAAACTTCTGCTGAACACTCTAACATTGCATTTTTAAACCTACCCCATACCTCTTCGACCCCATTGCCTATGCTCTCATTAGCCCATCTATCCTCCAACAGCTGTTTATTTCTTACCCTAACTGCCTCCTCTTTTAGTTTATAAACCTTCACCTCTCTCTTCCCTGATGCTTCTATTCTCCTTGTAACCCATCTACCTTTTACTCTCAGTGTAGCTACAACTAGAAAGTGATCTGATATATCTGTGGCCCCTCTATAAACATGTACATCCTGAAGTCTACTCAACAGTCTTTTATCTACCAATACATAATCCAACAAACTACTGTCATTTCGCCCTACATCATATCTTGTATACTTATTTATCCTCTTTTTCTTAAAATATGTATTACCTATAACTAAACCCCTTTCTATACAAAGTTTAATCAAAGGGCTCCCATTATCATTTACACCTGGCACCCCAAACTTACCTACCACACCCTCTCTAAAAGTTTCTCGTACTTTAGCATTCAGGTCCCCTACCACAATTACTCTCTCACTTGGTTCAAAGGCTCCTATACATTCACTTAACATCTCCCAAAATCTCTCTCTCTCCTCTACATTCCTCTCTTCTCCAGGTGCATACACGCTTATTATGACCCACTTTTCGGATCCAACCTTTACTCTAATCCACATAATTCTTGAATTTACACATTCATATTCTCTTTTCTCCTTCCCTAACTGATCCTTCAACATTACTGCTACCCCTTCCTTTGCTCTAACTCTCTCAGATACTCCAGATTTAATCCCATTTATTTCCCCCCACCGAAACTCCCCTACCCCCTTCAGCTTTGTTTCGCTTAGGGCCAGGACATCCAACTTATTTTCATTCATAACATCAGCAATCATCTGTTTCTTGTCATCCACACTACATCCACGCACATTCAAGCATCCCAGTTTTATAAAGTTTTTCTTCTTCTCTTTTTTAGTAAATGTCTACAGGAGAAGGGGTTACTAGCCCATTGCTCCCGGCATTTTAGTCGCCTCATACGACGCGCATGGCTTACGGAGGAAAGATTCTTTTCCACTTCCCCATGGACAATAGAAGAAATAAAGAAGAACAAGAGCTATTTAGAAAAAGGAGAAAAACCTAGATGTATGTATATATATATATTCATGTGCGTGTCTGTGAAGTGTGACCAAAGTGTAAGTAGGAGTAGCAAGATATCCCTGTTATGACTCAAGAAATCGTAATGACACGATTGCAAACAAACCATACCCCCGGCCGGGATTGAACCCGCGGTCATAGTCTCAAAACTCCAGCCCGTCGCGTTAGCCACTAGACCAGCTAGCCACAATAAGATTCATCCAACTAGGTATATTTCTACACCATAGGAAGGTTAGCACAGGCACCACTGTGACCACAAATGCAAGTTTTTACAGACGAATCTCCAGCTAGCGTGGCCGTGACGAACTCTAGCTCAAGTCCCTTCACTGCCGTCAACATGACTCAAGAAATCGTAATGACACGATTGCAAACAAACCATACCCCCTAGTTGGATGAATCTTATTGTGGCTAGCTGGTCTAGTGGCTAACGCGACGGGCTGGAGTTTTGAGACTCTATGACTGCGGGTTCAATCCCGGCCGGGGGTATGGTTTATCCCTGTTATCTAGCGTGTTTATGAGACAGAAAAGGAAACCAGCAATCCTACCATCATGCAAAACAGTTACAGGTTTCTGTTTCACAGTCGTCTGGCAGGACGGTAGTACTTCCCTGGGTGGTTGCTGTCTACCAACCTACTACCAGAAAGATTATTCTTATTTAAAACTAAATGAGCCAGAAAGATTATTCTCATTTAAAAATATATGAGCCAGAAAGATTATTCTTATTTAAATCTATATGAGAAGTACTACTTACCTTAAGATTCTGTGCACAATATTCTGAGCATTCATTTCCTCCATGACCATCAAAGACAGCACAACACAAAATGTTGTTAGGAAGGTCCTCTATAACATATCTGAAAAAAAAAACGTAACTATCACTAACATACTAGTGCATTATTCGCTGTAAAGGAAATAAAAGTTCTTAAAAAGTATTTTCCTAATTTTTTTTTTGTCTCCCTGCCTCAGTGGGAGATGGCCAGCATGATAAAAGAAAAAATCTGTTTATTAGAAATCTGGCTTTATTTTTTTATGTGAACTTACCAAGATCATCTGGCATGGCTTGGAATATTTGTTGTACAACCCATACAAGTTTAACAATGTTCTGAATATAATAATTTTAATCATTTAGCATATGAATGCACAATCGATGACTCTCAAGCAGCACAATAGCAGCTCTTAATATTGCAGACAATGACAAAAGCCAACAAGTAGAAATAAAGATGCCCTTAGCAGAGAACCTTTTCAATACAATGTTTAGCCCAAGGTTGGGTTATCAAGTATACATGTACACAGTGGAACCTCGGTTTTCCTGACTAATCCATTTGAAAAAGTCTGACGAAAACTGAAGCAATATTTCCCATAAGAAATAATGTAAATCCAATTAATCTATTCCAGATACCCAAAAATATTAACAAAAAATACATTTTATAGAAAATAACTATAGTTTTACATACAGAAAACAATGAGAAATTAATATCAATGACTAATGAAATGGATAAATGAACATATAACATCACTTTTGCCTTTATTGAAGACTCTTGTTGGCATATGGAAGATGGCGAGGAGGGGAGAGGGAGGAGAGGTCATTGTTTGGAAGGGGAATCAATGAATTTTTTGGTCCCACGTTTGTCAGAACTTGCAGCCTTGCCATGCCTTACCACACTGTGTATGCCAGTTTGCTTCTTGAATTTGTCAAACCAGTCTCTGCTGGCCTTAAATTCACTAACAGCAGCACTCATTCCAGGCATTTTCTTTGTGAGATCCACATGCAACTGCCTTGCCTTTTTGCAAATTATCGCCTCCAGAACACTATCTCCTGCTAACTGTTTCTCATTTATCCACACCAACAACTTCTCAACAACTTCGATTGTTTGCGATCTCTGTTTCATTAGCACATTTACCCCTTTCGCAACATCAGCTTCCTTGATTTCTTTTTACTTTGCCAGGATATAACTGATCGTTGATGAGGACTTCCTGTACATCCTGGTGAGATCGGCCACGAGTATGCCACTTTTGTACTTTGCTACGAGTTCTTTCTTGAATTCTATCATGTTTCTTACCTTCTTTATCAAAGGGCTGGTACTCAGAACTTTCTTTGGCTCCATGGTGGCTTATTTAGCAGTCGCACTCAATAAACAAGCACAAAAGAAATGGATTATTATCAAATGTTCAGATGAATGTGCGGGGTGATGCTCACTCAATGAGAAACAAAGGCAGACTAAGTCACGAACACATTGGATGCTTTGTGTGGGTGCTTGATTCTGGGAAATGAGTGACCAATTCACATGGGCAGGTGGACGAGTTTTGTATGGACCATTTTCAACTGCATGAAAACTAAGCAGATGTATGAAAACTGGGACAAAATTTTTATGAAAAAAAAAAAAGTCGTTGAAAACTTATTCGTACGAAAAGTAGGACATACGAAAACTGAGGTTTGACTGTACGTGATGAAGCCCAACACTGGGTGAAATATACTGAAAGAATTCTCTGCCATTAATGTGTTTCCAGCCCTTGATATCCTCTGTAAAGCTACCAGTGGCTAGTGATACTAAATACCTTCCACTGACTTAACTCAGTGAATAAACTGAGTAAAAGTATATTATGCAGTGTACAACTTATAAACTGTACACTGCATAGCATATTTTTCAGATAATAACAGTTTTTAGTCCACTATATTATGGTAGTATATCTCTGGTTGCAAGAGTGAACACTAGGGCATTAGGGAGATGTGTGGGATTCAAAGACAGTGAATCTTGTATAGAGTGGGAGTTGCCACAGTTACTTCTTGCCAATGACATGGTTTTTGTTTTTTGTTTTTGGGAGGGAATGTAAAAGAAGGAAATTAAAAGTCAACATAGGAAAGAGCAAGGTGTTGAGAGTATAAAAAAAATATAGGCAGTGAGAGAGATATCAGACTGATTGATTCAGGAAGTATGGAGGATTGGAGGTAGTCAATGTGTTAAGATACTAGGGAGTGGATTTGTCAGCAGATGTTTCTGTGAGAGATGAGGTGAATCATAAAACTGTGGAGACAAAGATCTTTATCCATGGAGGCAAAAAGTGAAAGCAAAAAGGGTAATGTAGTAGTGTATAGTGGTATCAAAACTGTTGTGTGTGTTTGAAGCATGAGTTTTGAGTGTTGCAGTGAGGAGGCTGGATGCAGAAGGTTGAGTGTTTGAAGGCAATATGTGGTGTGAATATTATGCAAAGAATTCAGTTTGGAGATTAGGATTAGGTGTGGAGTTACCAAAAGTATTATGCAGAGAGCTGAGGAGGGGTTGTTGAGGTGATTCGGAGATGTAGAGAGGATGGAGAAAAATATGACAACTAGGAAGGTGTATAAATCTTGGGTGGAGGGAAAGAGGAGTTGGGATTGTCACAGGGAAGGAGGGGTAGGGGGTTGTACTAGGAAAGGTTGGAGGAGGAGGGTAAAGGAAGTTTAGAGTGTAATGTGCTTGGACATACATCAGGTTTGTGTAAGTGTGTTCAACAGGAGTGAGTGGAGATAAGTGGTTTTTATGATTTGACATGCTGTTAGAGTACAAGCAATATAACATTTATGATAGGACTCAGGGAAGCTAGTTAGCTAGACTTGAGTTCTGGAGGTGGGGATGTTGCAGTTAGTAGCGTCATCTGTACTGTAATGTCAATGCCCTCTTGGCAAGAGTGTGACTGAGTGAATGACAATGAAAGGGTTTTCTTTTTTGTTGGGTTACCCTAGCTCAGTGGGAGGAGGCCAGTGTTTAAAAAAAAAGAAAACTCTGATTTTGAGAGGTGTTATATTTCAAGTATCACTGGCAATTTTTTTTTATTTTCACAAAAGATGCTAGTGCATTATGCAAGAGGAAATATGTTATATCAGCTGAAATTTAGTTATAGAAGTACAAGCTCAAGAAAAACCTGTTCTTCTGACAAAATATATTGTTAATTGCATGTGAAACAGCATTGTAAAGCACCTTTATAATAATTTTCCTTCAGTTTTTTTAAAAACTATAATAAAAGAATGAATTGCTAAAGTCCTTAAATATACTTAAGATAAATTCATGAACCAACTAATTTTTACTCAATCCTTACAAAGTTCTTTTTTTTTTTTCCCTAAGAAATCCATCATAGCTTGACAGACTAAAATAGAAATGGTTCATAATTCCTAAGTAACATATAAAAGCATATGCAAACACTGAAATTCCCTCTTCTTACCTGTCTTCCTGGTATGTACGTTTACCAAGAATACTTGACCGGCCAACATCGTGGGCAACAACCATTGGTATTGGGGCTCCGTGCTTGATGCTAGCATCCATCATAATGGGAAGATCAATTCGGTTGTCCCAAGCTCCAAGTGCATCAAAATTGAAGTCTTTTTTGTGTGTGCCTTCATTCTCAGCACCACTGTCGGCTTCAGATGTGGTCAACTCAAGGGCATTGATGATATTTGGGCATGGAAAATTTCTGAATATAGCCTTGCTATTTGATCTGATCCTGTTGCATCCATCTCCTCTTCTACATGATATACCTTGTGACAAAGATGCAAAACTATTTCCTAATGTTTTGTTGCTAAATACAACTGGTAAATGTGCAGACAGCTGCTCCACACGTGCAGCACTCAAGTGTGTGGTAGTGAATACGGACAAGTTCACTTGTGGTATCCTCTTGTGAGCCAAAAAAATCCTATGCATCATAAGTCAATTATGTATTTTTTGTTATTTGGAACCTGGGGAAAAAGATAGTTAACAAAATAAAAATAAGTATGCACCAAAAAAAATTAATAAATTAATACCGCTGGCATTATTTAATACAAGGATATATGTGTATAAGAAACATTTCCTTTGCATGTCATTGCTACTTTTCTACACAAGATGAAAAATAATACAGTATGTGCATCAATACATCATTTATTCCTAATATCTTAATAAAATACATTAACCCAGGGAATATATTCTGTGATTACAATAAGTACAGTACATGAATATCTGATGAAAAAGACACATTTGCAACACCTGAATATTTTTATTGCTAAATGTTCCACCTGTACAACAAGCTTCTTCAGTTGAATTTGATACACGAGTATTTGGATGAATTCTTAATGTCCACAATATACCATAGTTGTAACAGCATGGCACACTGTATATAACAAAGTAATTCAAGTGATTTATTTAATAACAAATATTTGAATATGTATTTTACCGTAATAGGGCAGCAAAGCCGATAGTAATGAGACTCAAACTTTGCATGAGGTATATCAAAGAAATATCATTTAATTTTAACCCTTATGCATGTTTTCATTTGGAGACTCAGTATTTTTTATTACTGTAATATTCTATTAATATGAAACAATAAAATGTAGATCATTTAGCACTTATGGAATGTTGAAGGCTTGATCTTCCAACCACTAATTATTATTGTTACTATTATCATTATCATCACCATCATAATCAGGTGCAAACCCTTATCAGATTTGATCTGAGGAAGGGTAGTCTCAATCCTTTGATCAAGAGCCCTTCACCAGCATCAAGGCAACCCCCAATGACGAGAAGTTAGTCTACGGGAAATGGCCCCAAAGTTATTAAGATACGTATTACAATAACAATGATTAATAAATGTGAGGAATTTAATATTCACAATTATGTTGTTATAATGGGACAGTCATATATGGACACAAGGTAAGAATATCTGAGATATTCCAGGCAGAAGACTTTAATGAAGGAACTCTAACCTGCAATGGGTTAGATTTTAAAAAAAATGAATGCTAATTGTGGTGATAAATACAAAATACATGTGCCATTAAAATTTACATGCAAGTAGTGTATGGACTGCCCAATTAGTTTCACCAATAAGCCTACTGGATTGTTCCCTATTATTATATGTGAGTAGGGCCTGCCTAGCATGAGCCAGTTGTAAATTCTTATTTACCCACTCAATACATACTATATATTTTATAATATGTCAAAGGTCTTCAATGAAAGTGGGGTGGCCCAAACAAGAAAATACATTCACCATCACTCACTCTGGAAAGAAGTGTTCTGACATCAAAGTTCAGATAACCCTCTGAAGTGTAACATCTCAACCCCTCCTGCAGTGTACATGTACTTCGCATCTCAAGACTCTGGGCCACAGGGCCCCCATGGCCTGGCTGGCAAAGCTTTTGCTTCATACACCGAGGGTCCGGGTTCAATTCCTGGCAAAGGTGGAAATATTTGATGTGTTTCCTTACACCTGTTGTCCTGTTCACCTAGCAAGTAGGTAGTACCTGGGCGTTTGTTGATTGGTGTGGGTCGCATCCTGGGGGACAAGATTGAGGAACCCAATGGAAATAAGACAAACAGTTTCTCGATGACGCATTGCATTTCTGGGGTTATCCTGGGAGGCTAACCCTCTGGGGTTAAAAATCCTAACAAAATCTTAACTGTATCACTTCATTAGCGTTATCTTGCTAGCACAATAACAGCACGTATTTGAAAAACCGGTTTCCTTGATTCACTCCTGTCTAGTACAGTCACACAAGCCTGTTTTATGTTTAAATGTTCAAGCCCCTTGGTGGTCCGTGGCCTGGTGGCAAAAGCTCTTGCTTCAGACGTTGAGGGTGTGGGTTCGATTCCTGGTGAGGGCTGAAACATTGGGCGTGTTTCTTTAACACCAGTTGTCTATGTTCACCCAGCAGTATAAAATGAGTACCTGAGTGTTAGTGGACTGGTGTTTACCTGGAGAGAGTTCCGGGGTCAACGCCCCCGCGGCCCGGTCTGTGACCAGGCCTCCTTAGGTCAGTGTCCCAGGATGCGACCCACACCAGTCGACTAACACCCAGGTACCCATTTTACTGATGGGGAACATAGACAACAGGTGGAAAGAAACACGTCCAATGTTTCTACTCTGGCTGGGAATCGAACCCAGGCCCTCACCGTGTGAAGCGAGAGCGTTAACCACCAGGCCACCAGGTGGGTCGCATCCTGGGACAAAACTGATCTAATCTGCCCAAAATGCTCAGCATAACAAGCGACTTTCTATATAGTAGTACACCATTAATGTCAGCTATGGTCTGTATACCTTGTACATGTACTTGTAGTATATAAAGATATTATTATTATTATTCTTCAATTTTCCCTTACAGTCTCTCCCTGGAACATCTCCTGCCTCTCCTTCCTTCCACTCAACATTTATACAACTTGTGTCATCCTAGATGTCTCTATCCTCTCTATATTACTATACCAGCTCAACAACCCATACTTAATATAACAGTAAAATATTTCAAGGACCCCAATGGAAATAAAGTCACTGACTTTTTTTTGGATTATCCTGGATGATAATTTACACTATATATAATTATACTTATATATCTGTGCCTAAATAAACTTACTTACCTACTTATTTAGTGTGTGGTAAACACAGAATGTATATATATGGTAAAATGGAAAATAATGCTGGAGTTGAGCATAGTAGTATTGCGAGAGTTATAGTGTTTATCTGACTCTCCCAACACTGTACACATGATCACTAACTTGAGTGTAACTCCTCTTTGTTAAATAAAGTGTACTAGAAGCATTAGAGAGCAGTAGACAAGTGGCAGTGTAGAGTAGTGCCTCCCCTGAGCCTCTCTTGTGTGTTGTTGATGTGTAGGTGAACCTCAACCAGCACCGTGATTCAAATTCAAATTCAAAGTTTGTTCTCTACAAGGATTATAATGCAGAGTTTACAGAATTTGGTTATTGTGTGGTTTACATGTAGTAAAATACTAATTACAGAGGGGGCCACTAGAACACCTAGCATGGCTAGGTATTTCGGGCAGACTTAGATTAATTCTTAAATTTTAAAATATTACAAATTATGAGGTAAGTTGGTATTATGGCTGAGTGACTAAATACTAGTTTGTGAGTTTAGCAATGTGAATGCTTTTGTTTTTGTGGAAAATTTTGTAGGGTTGATTACTTGTACATACCTCAACATTGCATGCATACCAGTAATCTCATTGGGAGACAACAACTATATTGTTTACCGCAGTCATCCACAGTGGTATATTACAGACCATTCTGGAGAAATACCCTGACTTTGCTAGCTGTAAATAAAGCATTACCACATATGTGCATGTGTGTGTGTGTGTGTGTGTTTGTGTGAGTATGAGTGTGTGTGTGTGTATGAGTGTGTGTACTCACCTAATTGTACTCACCTAATTGTGGTTGCAGGGGTCGAGACTCAGCTCCTGGCCCCGCCTCTTCACTGATCGCTACTGGATCCTCTCTCTCTCTCTGCTTCCTGAGCTTTGTCATACCTCTTCTTAAAACTATGTATGGTTCCTGCCTCCACTACTTCACTTGCTAGGCTATTCCACTTGCTGACAACTCTATGACTGAAGAAATACTTCCTAACGTCCCTGTGACTCGTCTGAGTCTTCAGCTTCCAGTTGTGACCCCTTGTCCCTGTGTCCCCTCTCTGGAACATCCTATCTCTGTCCACCTTGTCTATTCCCCGCAGTATCTTGTATGTCGTTATCATGTCTCCCCTGACCCTTCTGTCCTCCAGTGTCGTCAGTCCGATTTCCCTTAACCTTTCCTCGTACGACATTCCCTTGAGCTCTGGGACTAGCCTTGTTGCAAACCTTTGTACTTTCTCTAACTTCTTGACGTGCTTGACCAGGTGTGGGTTCCAGACTGGTGCTGCATACTCCAGTATGGGCCTAACATACACAGTGTACAGTGTCTTGAACGATTCCTTATTAAGGTATCGGAACGCTATTCTCAGGTTTGCCAGGCGCCCGTATGCTGCAGCGGTTATTTGGTTGATGTGTGCCTCCGGTGATGTGCTCGGTGTTATGGTCACCCCAAGGTCTTTCTCCCTGAGTGAGGTCTGTAGTCTTTCTCCACCTAGCCTATACTCTGTCTGCGGTCTTCTTTGCCCCTCCCCAATCTTCATGACTTTGCATTTGGCTGGATTGAATTCGAGAAGCCAGTTACTGGACCACATGTCCAGCCTCTCCAGGTTTCTTTGCAGTCCTGCCTCATCCTAGTCCGATTTAATTCTTCTCATCAACTTCACGTCATCTGCGAACAGGGACACTTCAGAGTCTATTCCTTCCATCATGTTCACATATATCAAAAATAGCACTGGTCCTAGAACTGACCCCTGTGGGACCCCGCTCGTAACAGGCGCCCACTGTGATACCTCTTCACGTACCATGTGTGTGTGTGTATGAGTGTGTGTACGTGTGTGTATGAGTTTGTGTATGTGTGTGTGTGTGTGGGTGTGTGTGTGTGTTTATGTGTGTGTGTGTATGAATTTGTATATGTGTGTGTGTGTGTGAGAGAGAGAGACTCAGCAATCAACATTTGCACCAATAACTCACTACAGTTGTGACCGGGTGTGGAAGTGTGAATTGCTCATTACTCTAAAATTTGTTCATGATTGCAGCCATGTATAAACGTAAGTAACCATTCTTACAGTATTCATTACCTTTGTAACTTGTGAGTTCATTACCTTTGTAACTTGTGAGTTCATTACCTTGTACCTAGTTCAGCCATCAAAACTTTGGAGCCCGGTCCCTGGATCCATTACGTACCTCTGTAATCTGTAAATACCTTTGTAACTTGTCATGATTGTGACTAGACCTACCTGGAGTTCATTACCTTTGTAAATTGTGAGTTCATTACCTTTGTAAATTGTGAATTCATTACCTCTGTAACTTGCTCAGCTTTCAAAACTTTGAGGCCCAGTCCCTGGACCCATTATGTACCTCTGTAATCTTTTGACTACTGCCCACAGGATGGGTATGGGGTGCATAATAAACATATTAAACTAACTAAAAACCGTGTAGACATGTGAGAAAACTTCACCACCCTTGGTCACTGCTGGTGGCCCCTTCGACCCTCACAATCTTATCCATATCTATCCGAGACCAGTATAAATTGGTAAGCACCCTCAAGTACGGCGCTACTAATTAATTGTGGACTGTATAGATTATATTAGTTTAACTGAATGAAGGGGGGGGGGTAGGTTACACATGGATACATCCATCAAAGAAAAACACTTGTATATAATCCCATCACTTACCAGATATTCTCTGGTGGTCACTTGATGTAGCTGGATCACCCATAACCTATCCAATTACAACATACCTAACTGGCCAGTATCAGTCTGCTATAACTAGAAAGGTTACTTAACTGTGGGTGATTGATGCTCCTTATTTCCTCCATTCTCCATCCCATTTCTATGTCCTGCTACACCGACACGGTTCTTATTCCAGCAGGACGAGGTATCCGTTGGTTTGTCCCGGTTTAGAAATCATGACTCCATAAAAACTTCACAATCCTCGAGACAGGAACAACGAGGTAAACATGTGCACACACACTCTGGGAATGGCAGCTCGTATCGCTTCGACGATTCCTTAACTTAGTGTTATTATCACTGATTACATTACAATTCACAGGACGATTTAATGTCTCATAATTATTATACACATTAGAGGTCACTCCATTAAGATCTGAGACCGATGAGTGAGGATTAACTCACGGGTATTCCCCTGGACACACACCATGGCTGCGCACCAGTCACCCCTGGTCGAACCATTATTCACTAATTTTACCACCCTTTTACAGTGGTCCCGTAAATCACGTTCCCTCACTCTTCACCAGGAACAGTTACGACACTTCCTATTAGGAAGTGAGGCCTTTATTAATCCTTAGGCCGTTGTGAACGCCAATTTCCTGATCCCATGTTTTCACAGCCTCCTCACTACATTCAAAACACTGCCGTGCCTCGCATGCCCTCAGCCTCCCTCCCTCCCCTCACATCCGTGCAGGCGCAGGGGGAACACTGTTGGTTCTGTTCAAATTTCAAATACATTTTGACTCAAATCAACACATTAAACACCTATTAGGCACTATAGCTTCGGAAAATTAAATATTTTCCACAGTTTTGGCACAATATATAGTTTCAGTATTGGAGTATCACAGGCCAACTTATGACTAGTTAGGATTCATTATTTTAAGACTGAGATTGATATTTCTGTTTATGGTCAAATGGGTGAGTGAGTGTAAGTGTGAACCACCAGGTGGTATTCGTGTAATTTGTTGATGGGGTGTATCAGGGAGATAAGATAAACCATACCCCCGGCCGGGATTGAACCCGCGGTCATAGAGTCTCAAAACTCCAGCCCGTCGCGTTAGCCACTAGACCAGCTAGCCACAATAAGATTCATCCAACTAGGTATATTTCTACACCATAGGAAGGTTAGCACAGGCACCACTGTGACCACAAATGCAAGTTTTTACAGACGAATCTCCAGCTAGCGTGGCCGTGACGAACTCTAGCTCAAGTCCCTTCACTGCCGTCAACATGACTCAAGAAATCGTGTCATTACGATTTCTTGAGTCATGTTGACGGCAGTGAAGGGACTTGAGCTAGAGTTCGTCACGGCCACGCTAGCTGGAGATTCGTCTGTAAAAACTTGCATTTGTGGTCACAGTGGTGCCTGTGCTAACCTTCCTATGGTGTAGAAATATACCTAGTTGGATGAATCTTATTGTGGCTAGCTGGTCTAGTGGCTAACGCGACGGGCTGGAGTTTTGAGACTCTATGACCGCGGGTTCAATCCCGGCCGGGGGTATGGTTTGTTTGCAATCGTGTCATTACGATTTCTTGAGTCAGGGAGATAAGATGTTTTCTAATGGTAATTTTGAAGGTGATGAATGTGTCTGCAGTTCTAGAGTTTTCAGGTAGGGTATTCCAGATTTTAGGACCTTTGACATACATTGAATTTTTGTAAAGGTTTAGTCGAACTCGGGGAATGTCATAGAGATGTTTGTGTCTGGTGTTATGCCTGTGGGTTCTGTCACAGCTATCAAGAAAGCATTTTACGTCAAGGTTAATATTGGAATTTAAGGTCCTGTAGATATAGATTGCACAGTAGTAAGTGTGGATGTAATATACAGGGAGTAAGTTTAGATCTATGAAGAGTGGGGGGGGGGTGTTGCCAGGGATGGGATTTAGTGATTATTCTTACTGCGGCTTTTTGTTGGGTTATTATTGGCTTTAGGTGTGTTGCTGCAGTTGATCCCCAAGCTCAAATAGTATAGGTGAGGTATGGATAAATAAGTGAGTGGTATAGTGTGAGAAGGGCATTTTGCGGCACATAGTATCGTATCTTGGAGAGGATCCCCACCATTTTGGATACTTTTTTGGTTATGTGTTGGATATGGGTGCTGAAATTCAGGTTGTTGTCAAGGTATAGGCCAAGGAATTTGCCCTCATTATGTCTGGTAATTAGAGTGTTGTCGATCTTAATGTTAAGTTGCGCAACTCCTGCTCAGCTACCAAACATAATATAGTAGGTTTTGTCAGTGTTAAGCATAAGTTTATTGGCTGTCATCCAAGTCGATATTTTGATCAGCTCCTCGTTAACAATGGTGTGGAGGGTGGCAAGATTAGGGTGAGAGATGACATAAGTCGTGTCGTCAGCAAAGAGAATGGGTTTCAGGTGTTGAGATATGTTTGGAAGATCATTGATGTATATGAGGAAGAGCAGGGGTCCAAGGACACTTCCCTGCGGAACTCCAGTATCAAGTGGCCGTGTTGTTGATGCTGTGTCTTTAATGGTGACATACTGATACCTATTAGTAAGGTAAGATTTGAAATATGCAAGCGCATGGCCTCTTATACCATAATGGTCAAGTTTG